TTATGTTTAGCACTATCTCCAGCGTAACTCTGAGTACATCATCTACAAGGGCCACGTCTCGCTCAAAAAGCCACGTGGGAGATGTCCTCAATATGTAAGTCATTCGGGGCATCCCTAAACAATTCCGCAACAAGACGAGCGCCACATGAGCCGATAGATGCGACAAATGTTCCCGTGCAGCTAAAAGTGCCAGTCTTTTTGTTTGAAGAGCAGAACTGACACCCTCAGGAAATATTGGCGCACCCAATAGGCTGACAGACGACCTATCCAGCTGCTTGATGCCCGGCAAAAGAACCATCAAATTTTGTAGTACGTCCGCGTTAATAAATCCACAATTAAATAACTCGCACTTATTTGGATTTATTTCTAGACCAACAGCTTTCAAAGCTACTCCGAGTCTCTTTAAATCTTGCAAAACCACTTCTGGACTTCCGCCAATAGTGCCATCATCTAGGTACCAGACATTCAATGGTGAGTCCAATGATGATATGATTTTCTGGATAGCCAAACAGAACAATAAAGGCCCCAGAGGATCGCCCTGTTGAGCACCCACCTGCGATAAGATGGAATTTTCACCGTAGAAAAGATTACTGGGGACCGAGTAACACTGGTAGACAAAGGGGTACAGGGATGGCACATTTTCCAAAATTTCCGACAAAATAATATCTCTCTCCACACTGTTAAAAGCGTTCCTAATATCTATTTTGACGACCACTGTATCTGTACCCTCATGGCCCATCGCAAAAGAGCGGGTGGCGTGTATCGCCGCCTCGCAGCCCAGTGGCGTCCCGAATCCCACCTGCCTCGGCTGAAGGTGGGTCGACATTATGTCTCTAACTGACCTACAGCAAAGCTTTGCCACTAGGCGGCGATACATACCACCCACGGCAATTGGCCTAATACCATCATCCTTTTTCGAAAGGGCGCAAAGAGATGCACCGTACAAGTAAGGAGCCACTTCCAAATTCAGCATACCCCGTAAAAGAAAATTGCACAAATCGGAGAGCAACTTTAGTAAACGAGGACCGTTATCGCCCGCAGAAGGTGATGTAAGCTCTTTGAGATGTTGAGGGCGCAAGCCATCAAGACCAGCGGCTGAACCATTGTAAAACGACCCCAAAGCCATAGCCACGTCTGTAGGTGTAACAGATAAGGAGGGACTCGTGAGGCTTGGTTCCGGTGGAAAATTCAGGGGCCTAGAAGGAGACGGATGTTTGTCTTCTAATGCTCTCAAGGTATTATCATTCGCTGGAGCCAACGACGAGTCCGACAGCAGTAAGCGGACGGCCCCTCTCAAATCACCGTCATACACCTTAGCCTCTATGGTACGGTAGGTCGAATGCGGTTTATGTGTTGACTGAGTACCCGGAAAATTTAAAATTTCGTTAAGTACATTATTCTTTACTTTGGAGGTTAATGATTTGCGCCCCTCATCACCTGGAACCCTCAAGGCCGAAAAAGGGAAAGATAATAAGTTGAACCAGTCATCCACACCATTCGATCGCAGGCACTCATCTATCAAATAACACAACCTGCCAGCCGCAAGATTCCTCGCCCCTTTGGGTATATGTCTAAGGACTCGAATTTGCTTCTTAAGCGATGGTAAATTATGAAGACCGAATGTGCTCTGTGCCGCTTGTGTCACCTCACTTAAGGCTGGCGCAGGAGTGACCGTCCGCGCCCCAGAGCCAGTACCTGGAACCGACGAGTCATCGACTCTGCGATGGGCTACATCCCTATGCGCTCGACTAATATGCACACTAAGACCCCTTGATTGTACGTACAACTTGGGCGATCCCGGGCAATAAGGACACCTAACTTTACAGGGGCTGCTCATGTTGATCCTTCCATGTCTTCAATTATTGTAATAATAAAAATAATAATATCAATAAATGCATAAAATTAACAAAAGCAAAAAAGAAATCAATGTAATACAATCATTACCAACCATTAGAAAAGCAGTAAAAAAAAAAAAGTGTTATTAATTGATGGGATAACTAATATTAATTAAAATTATAAAAATAATGGAACAATAAAAATCAGTTCAAACTTCAATTCAATTAAATGACTATAGTAAAAAGAATATTAGCTTAATAAATATTATACAATAATTTAAAAATAAATGTCACTGTGGTAAAGTATTAAATATGTGTATAAAATTACACCTTTCGGCCATATTAGAATAAATGGGAGTCAATTTAAAAATAAAATACTTAATTGCTAATATTAAACAAATAGGCGTTTTCCTATCCTATCTTGTCGCAGGTGATGACAAATACGCATCCCACTACGCACAAGAACTAGTTAAGTGTTAAAAAAGCAAATGACAATATAAATAAAAGGAAACAATGATAAAAATACAAAAAAATAAAAAGTTTTGCAAGTTAAGGTTGAATTGAACTTTGACACTATATAATTACAAATTACATTTGAAATAATTATTAACGAATATTACAAAACTAAATTACTTACAAAATTCAATCCGCAATGTAGGCTTCGTCAAATAACTTGTCAATTGAACAATTTTTCCGCTACTTCCGGGTAACAACACAAAAATTAATAATAAAAACACAAAACAATTAATAAAGAATATTAAAAAAAAAATAAAATAAAAAAAAAGCCACAAGTCGTCTTAAAGTATGTGGGATTTGAACTCTAGTCCACCGTCACCGCAGTAACCATACTAAGCCGCTAGTCCACGCGTTAGTCGTACACTTGTGCCGAAATTAGTAGTTAACTCAGAACATTCATGAATCGTTGAAAGTAGTCACCTTGGGGACGATCGTTAACAGATCAATCGATCATTAACACCACAAATTTGAAGTCACTTTGTAAACATGTTACCGTCAATTGACAATGAAATTATTAAATTCTCCATATCAAAATACTAAATGGTTTATTTAGTACACATATTGTTTAAAATACATTACTTAAAGGCACAGCAATATTTATTTCTGCACTAGCAAACTGTATAGCAAGTCACTTGTGAAGGGTTTTTGTTCCTTGTAAGTCACAATTTTTTTTTTTGGAAAGTAGTCGAAAATACGGGAATTTCACTTCAATAACACTTGTACTAGACATTTGCGAGGCACTGAACGTTTAATAATTACTTCCAGCGTTATATATATAATCAAAACTTTTATAAAGATTTATTAAGTCAACAGGTAACTTGGTCGCGCGACAGTTCAGATAAGTATATCAAATTAGAAGAAGCACGATGAAGCTTCATATTTGACAATGTCAAAGTCAAAGTCAAAGATTATTTATTCCATAGGTAAAATAAATTTACACTTGAAATCGTCACATTTAAGCTACTGCTCGTTCACTACCTCCCTGAGAAGAACGAGCAAGAAACTCTAGGGATTTCTCTTTTCAAAAAACTTAAATACTATGGAATACACTTTGAATCAAATTTGTGTGGATTCTGGAGCCATGTCGTCTTTCCATACATCTTTATCTAACACGTAGTCTTCAATTTTGTAATATGATTTTTCGATCAAAATATTTTTAATGTAGTTTTTAAACTTAGGAAATGATAAACTTAATATATGCTCCGGAATCTTATTGTAAAAACGTATACAGTTCCCCATAAAAGAGTTGTTTACCTTGGTTAAACGAAATCGTGGTACCATGAGTTTGGACTTAGCTCTAAGGTTAATATTATGGATATCTTCTTTCTTATTGAAATTATGTATATTTTTACGGGCATATAAAAATGTTGTCTGGGCATAAAACAATGTTTTTTAATGTGGTCGAGTATTTCTTATTGGACAGTAATTGTTTCGGCCGGATGTCGAGAGTACAGGGCCAGTTCCGAATCCGATAAATGACGGTCCGAATTGTCACAGGGATCATCTCTAGGTGCACAAGCGACATCCCAAGTGGGTCCGAGTTTTTTAGATGTGTATAGTCTCGGGTTCGGAACGAATAGGAATGGGATTCAATCAATCGGATCGAATCAAAATTCACGAGCCCCCTAACGTCGTAATGTTAGCATTACTGCTTGGCGGCAGAAGTGGTAAGGTGGCAGTACTTCCCTGCACGAACTTTTTCGCAAGAAGCTCTACTGCTAATAAAACTGTTTGTGTTGAACCTAGAGCCATGTCGTCTTTCCATACATCTTTATCTAACATGTATCTAGGTAGTCATCAATTTTGTAATATGACTTTTCAATTAATAGTACTTATGCCGAGTGGCCTAAATATTAGGTACGAGATTTTAAGACCTAATTATGTAATGCATACAATACTTTTTCTACGAGCAAATAAAATGAAGAAACAGAACCAATATTTAATGTATATTCTGTTATCAATCTATGACAACAAACGCATTTCTTTTTAATAAATTTTAACCCAATTATTACGGCAGGCAAAGGTTACATCATACAGTCTCTTTACTTAGACGAAAGCCAAACAAACGCCACAAAACAAAAAACCAAAGAGATAGAATAGAACTGTCCAAGTACCGCATATATTTTAACCAATTTTTTTTTGTAACGAACCAGAAAGGCCATAATGCCCGGTTGCAAGACTTTTAGGCCAATTTTGGTTATGATCGGGAGGCAGTTTAACGTTTTATTAGTGTCTTATTTGATATTATTTTAATTATCAAAAATACGACGTTGTTTTTTTTGAAACTCATTATAGTTATTCTGAAATTTTTGAGTTAAGTGGCTATGGTCATATACAATATGATTATGATTCAGAAGTAAAAAGAGCGTCTTTAAGTTAAGAAATAGGAAATTATATTTGAGAGGTACAGAGTTTTCTAAAAAAATATTTTTAATGTAGGTTAAAACCTATAGATAACTGAGGAAATGATAAACTTAATACATCTAAACTCCAGAATCTTGTTGCAAAAACAGTATCGATGTTAGTCCGGTGCTATTCTATTCTATACCAAGTCATCTGTCCGCCTCCCCTCTTCGCTTCCCCTCTCCGCTCCTGAACCTCTCAAGAGATTATGGAAATTAGTTTTATGCTACAACCTGTAACACTTACCTAGTATAATCTCTTTTGCAATAAGTTTTCCCGTCTCTAACAAAACAAGTGCAGGACTCGTCGAGAAACTGCCTGCACTCCTGGCACTTTAGACACGCCGCGTGCCACTCCAAGTCTGGTGCCACCCTTAGGATGTACTGGTCGTGGATTTGACCTCCGCAACCCACGCAGAGTGATAGCCGAAGTTTTTCTAGAACAAAACAAACGCAGTGTTACAACATTAATACGTATTTCAGGTTTATTAGTAAACACGAATAATAAATCATAAATAGGAAGCAAGGAAAATAATAAACAAAAATAAAAATCTAAACTAAAAATAAAACAACAAACATATTTATTTGTGTTAAATAATAAAGTATCATAATGAAATAAATCAAAGTCTTATAAAACCATTCCAAACCATCATTTCTTTTTTCATTTAAATATTCTTCGATTTTGTAACAGCATTTTTGACTATTTTTTTATAATACATAGTGACGGGCGAACAAGTCCTTCGCCTGGTGGTAAGCGATATCAGTCTATAGAGCCCCTTGTAAAGGAGTTCATCCAGGATAATACTGCCACGTTACGTATTTCTGCCGCCAAGCAGTAATGTCAGCATTACTGTGTTCCGGTTTTGAAAGGCAAGGGTGTTGGTGAAATCACAGGCAGACATCAACTTGTCTTTGGGTGACGGGCGCAGTGGTAGTACCTCTCAGATGTTTGCGATTTAAAGCTCTGAGTGGCACTGCAACTGTTGTGGACAGCCGTGTAGCTTACTACCATGCGCACGGCTTATTCGTCCCGTCACTTAAAATTATATATAAAAAAAGAAATGGTTGTTTTGCAGTTATGACATTTTACCTGTAATGTTGTACATAAAAAGCCTCGTGAGATACTAAGTAGCGGGTTCCGTCGTTGACACTACAAGAAAGGCAATCGCCCGAATGATCATGATGGAAACCAATGATACAACTTAAACTAAAATTTACTTTGTCTGTAAAAACTGTAAGTACAAAAAACCGCAATTAATCTTTGTCATCTGATTTTTTTTATTTTAGTTTTTTTTATTATTATTTTCAATAGGCTGTGAAGTAATAGAGAGATATCTTTGAAACTAAGAAACTGCTATCAAAAATATACCTACAATAAACTTTTCCCACAAAAAAGATATCGTAAGCCCTACAAAGCACTGTTCTACAAAACGGTCTAACAGCCATTATGGACATATTAAGCAAAGATAAAAGAATTATGAATAAATTATATCCCAAAATCGATACATCACCGTAGGCGTGGCTCTACTACGCCGCGCCTTGTCTGCTATAATCGCAGCTGAGGGAATATGTTCATCTCTTTCTTCCCTCACTATATCATTCACTCTTATGGCATCAGCAGTTTGCAAGAAAGTGTTTATTTATAAACAGTGATGCTATAATTTGGTTGTTAAAGATTTATTGTTCTTTACTTAAATAGAGTTTGAATTTGAATATTTTTAAGATAACTATCTCTTTTCAGTTTATTTATGACTAATGATTATTTTTTTAAATTATTTTTTGAAACAAGTAACACTTACGATTGATATGTCAATAGTCTAACAAATAGGCTGTACGGTTGTATTCCAAAGCCAGTAAACTCTCAAAAACTCTACAAAAATAAAAAGATAGCGACGTAACTCACTGACACAAGATTTCTCTTACTCTTGGATTTTCATACATACCTTCTTATCATCACGCTTGTAGCCCACCGGGGTAGGCAGAGATCATGGACGTCCACCTGTTACGCTCCTGACTAACCTGCGCCTCCTCCATTCCCATCAATCTCTTCATACATGCCCGCTTGTACTTTTAACTCGGCCTTTTATAACATCCCAAATCTGATTGATATTTACGCCGAGGTCTACGTCTCCTCGCGCCGCCATCCAAATTCGTTCTATTCCTAAGTTTACCCGTTAATCTACCAACATTCATTCTGTCTACACGACCACAACGCTCTCTTACTACATTGTTTGGCATTTTGTCTTTAAGACTAAGTAATGTATGAATAATAGAAAAAAAACACTAACCTAAAAATGACGAAGCGTGTTCCCATCATTCTGGGCTGTGCGGAATTATAGCTTACTTTATGAACTTTTACACCAAGTAGTAGCTAAGTGGAAACCAGTTTGACTCCTAGTAATAACCAAGAAGTTTTCACATTATATCTCTTAGAAGAAAGTGAGATCAAATTATTGTTTTTTATTAAAAAATGTACAAAACAGTATCCTTATTAATTTAAGCATGGCGGCTGAACAAAGACCTGAGTAAGTTTGTCTGTCGTATTGAAGTTGATAAGCCTATTTGTTTATTTATATACGCTACATCTCCACCCACATTTGCTCTGTAGTATCGTTAATCTTACTAATGATCATTCTTTTACTACATGACCAAATCATCGAAGCATCGTCTTCTTTTCTACATCACCTTCCATACAACAACCCTCACTTTGTTGTCAATTCAAACCATAATAAGAACTTCAAGTAACAGAACACTCCATTATTCCTCGTTCAATAAATTAAAAAAAGTTTTTATTGCTTAAAATATTTTACAATCCAATAAATTCCTTTAAATTTGAACTACACGTTGAGAATGCCGAGCGTAGCATTGTTAAATAAACAACTGAAATTGCTGTTATCTAGAATCGTATTGATCTAGTTATATAGTTTTGTAAGTACATAATGTTCCACCTTTAAGCACGTTGGCGCACTACATCCGATTTGTATACGTTCTGAATCCAAAACTATACAAATATAGAAAATTCGAAACCAATTCGAATGTCACTTGTGCACTAACTCCGATTTTCCTTGCACTTGTGACAGGGGGTCTACTCTCATTCTCAAGTCTCTCAATGTCAAGTATGAAGCTTCATTCGCATCATGCATCTTTTAATTGGGTTGAGTATTACTTATTGGGCTGTAATTATTACGGACGAATGTCAGACGAAGAACGAGTTCGGGAGATGTGAGGAACTCTTTAATAGTGAACAGCAGCTATCTTGTTTTTGGGCTCATGATTACTTTTAACCAGGAGTTCCACACGCCTTTCAGTTATCGTTGGGTAGACCACGGTAACAAGCTTAGCGAAATCGGTTTTCTCTTTATAAAAAAGTTATAATTATGGAAATGAAACAAAATAACGTCTCAGTCAGCCGTGACCATGGAAAACGTTGGTTTGTTAGAAAAAAAAATATACTACACGATTTAGATCCGAAAAAAAAATTTTTTCATTTCCTATGAGTAACAATCGCGAAAACATATGTAGTTATAGTTATATTACTGTTTAATATAATATCTACGTATACAAAGAGGAACGCCCCGGTCTGACATTGTACAGTATTCGAATATCAACTCCGGTGCAACGGTACAAGATCCATCAATGTGTAGCTTGACGTGTTGCCGTCTGTACAATAATGGAAGTCATGTACGTGTACTAGCAAACGGTGAGAAACATAGGTAATTAGGTATGGAAATTATCATCATTATAAATATTGTTGCAATAACTTCAGATTAAATTCGTCCGTAACTACTAAATTGCATTAAAGTAAAATTTAAAAACAATTAACCGCAAGTTGAGTGACCTGAGAACAAAAACGCTTTGGGCGAAATCGTCATACGTTATCTTTGTATCTGTGGGTGATTTAGTACGATGCGCTTACGCCGTGACGGATGGAGATATGCAATAATGTAAATTGCATTTTATTGCAATAAACACACACAATTTTTAAAATTAATACACCAAGTGAACATACATTAGTTGTATTTTATTAACTCATTCACTACAATATATAATTTTATTAGCAGTAGAGCTCCTTGTAAAAGAGTTCGTCCAGTCAGTCCAGGTTTTAAAGGGTGCTGCTGAAGTTACAATCATATGGGGCTCGTGAACTTTGTCTTAGGATGACAGGCGTAGCGATAGTGCCCCTCAGACCTTTACAATTTAAAGCTTTGCAATTTAAATTGTCACTCACACTGCACGAATTGTATTAAAAAAATAGAATGAGTGAGCGTCTGAATGATTTAATTAATAAAGAACTCAATCAATTCAACTCTGCTCCCAACCGTCAAATTTATATTTACAATGTTACTTTTTATTTCCACTACTTTAAAGTTTGTAATCCCTTCTTTCTTTTTACCAACGTGAAAATTAAAAAGATTTTATATTGTAGAACGTTCGCACTCCGCATGCGATTGGTTAGCTTTAATGTCTTCATCTTCTTTAATGTCTTCTTTAATGGATTCTTTGGACGACGGTACGCGTTTGCCTAAAAATGCCTATTCACTCTAATCTTGAATAACCCCAATTGTACTTTTCGATACAATTTAATTTGCTTCCTTTATCAGAACGGAGGAAGCAAAGCGCTCAGTGCGAATGGGTGGTATATCAACAACAAGGATGGAGTGTTCCAAACCTTCTAGTTGACCGAAGGAACTAAATTTAAAAGTTCCTGCTGACACTCCCCAAAATGTATCCGACAAGCAGGCTACTTTTCTGCGATGGTCAAGATTTTGTAGCTTCGACTCCACAAAACAATTATTGTTAGTAAGTCTCTAAGCAGAAGATGTAGTGATTGTCAATTTGATGTTAAAACTAATTATGAAATAAATTCCCTTAAGTCTGCAGCGCAGTGAACACAGAGCAATAACAAACGCCTCTGTCTCACAGATAACTTGATGCACACTAATTACATTCCGAGCAAGTCCAGGCAAATAATTATTTACAGGTCTGGTACAAGTTTATCGGATACTTTTATCAGTGCACTGTAAAAGCAACCGCATGCCATGTTCGATTTGTAATTATATATATTGTAATTATATATCTATATAATTTTTTATTAATAATAACCGTTAATTTTATTTTGCGCGGTGGTGTGGTTACTTAAAGAATATTGTTTATTATTTATGGTTATGGTTTATTGTTTATGGATACGATCGCTCGCCCAGTGGTACTGGTAGAATAATAGCGCTGTAGTCTATCAATGTCTATATATATTGTAAATTTATCGGGAACAGAAACTGAAAAAAAAATCCAACTATTGGATAACGCACTTGTTATTTTAAATACGTGCAAATGTAATAATAATATTATGCCAGAGAATCGCATGAATTATTTAGTCCAGACCAGGGAATTCCCAGTACTATTTATTTATTATTTATTTATTATTTATTGAATGAGTACT